CTCAGCCCTGGGGTTTTCAAACTAAAACTCAGCCCTGGGGTTTTCAAACTAAAGCTCAGCCCTGGGGTTTTCAAACTAAAGCTCTGAGTTGTGGATTGAGGTGTTCATGTCTGGAGGTGGACACGAACCCTTGTTCTGTTTCAGCACATTCCAAATCCCTGCACCCCCCACACCTGAACTGCTGTGTCAATGGTACTGCTCATATTTAATGATGTTCTATTTGTTTTAATTGCATTTGAGTCATTCAGGATTATTCAGGATTTACATTCACATTTAACGACATCTGTTGGTTCCTGTCATTTCAGTTTGGTCCATCTTTCTGTCCCGAGACTGAAACTGAGCGTTGAGTGTGTCTGACTCTTAAAAACCACTGATGCCTCTGACCTTCATGTCCTCCAGCACCACGCGCTCCCCCAGCTTCAGCCCCAGTGACGACAGCATCAGGTTTCCCGGGATGTTGTCGTAGTTGGGGAGCGTGGCTCTGGGCAGGTTGCAGCTCAGGGGGACGGCGTCCAGCAGCAGCTGCCTCAGCTCCTTGGCCACCATGGCAGCCTCAGCCTTGTCCAGACTCATGTCCATCGGGTCGGGCACCACCTCTGCTGGAACCTGGCCCTTATCATTCTGCAGGGACACGAGAAGGAGGGGACGCTTTCTTTAGCCAGGTTAAAGAATCAATCTGTACATGCACAGAAACAGGTTTGTTGGAAAGTCTGGAGCAAAAATGCAAAAACAAAGATTGTTCCTGAATAACATTTCCACTTCGATCTGCACAGTTGAGCCATTAAATCACGTTAAACCTCATTTATCTTTTCACATGATTCAGGCAGGACTCAGATGTCGAAGCTCCAACAAGGAGCTTTTTCATTTGTTTTGGAAGCAGAGAAAAAAGGACACATGCAGTGAGTTCAGGTGAAAACACTGAGACACTGAGTTCTCTGTAGTTTTTACTACGATGATGTAACATGAAGGACAAACAGCGATGATTGAAATGAAACAAAGCGAGTGCTGTTACCCGGACAGTCGGGTTGGCTCCGTGCTCCAGCAGACATTTGACGGCACCCAGACAGAGGTTGGAGGCAGCGATGTGGAGAGCTGTCCCGTAGTGGAAATCACTGCACGTCGAGTTCATCACTGTGGAGGGAGGACACTTTAATGTTACTACTGTGTGTGTGTGTTTAAGTGTGTGTGTGTGTGTGTGTACCTCTGGGTTTGGCAGATTTGAGCAGGACTCGGATCAGTTCTGGGACATCGAAGTAAGCGGCGTAGTGCAGCGCGTTCATGTTGGTCCAGCGACTCCTCAGACTCACGTCGGCGCCCAAAGAGATCAGCTGACTGGTGAGACGCAGCGCTGCCGCCGGGTCGCCTGCACACACAACGAGGGATGATGAAACCCAGAGGAGCGCCGGCGTTTGTTCCAGAGCCTCCGGACCCTGACTGTCCCCTCTGGTTTTCAGCCGGGCCGAGGATCAGAGGTGTGGTGCCGACTGTTTCTTAGTTATTGAAAATGGGATTGTATTAAAATGTCACATATAAGTATACGTAGGTCGTTTTTTAAAACCTCAGTAAATCTGCTACAAGAGGCGATTGAATCCTTTCCCATCACCAGTAGAGGAGTTTGTCTTCCTGGTTCTAGTCTCATGCGTCATGTTCAGTGACACTGAGTTTACATCCATGTTCCTACCTTTGTGTTCTTTCCACTTTGAGACAGAAAAGACCAAAATAATCTCAATCAAAAATCTCACCAACTCCATGTGCTCCGGCCTTACAGCTGTAGTGGAGCAGCGTCATGTCAGTCAAACCGTCGCGGTCGTTCACATGACAACCACGCTTCAGGATCTGAGACCAAAGAAGAAAACATGTGGCGACACGGTTTCAACACGTGTAGATAACACTTCCTGTCCATCTTTAGATATTAGCTCCCATTTGCTGACGTGACACTGACATGAACGTGACGCTTGTTTCAGAAATATAAAAATACTAAACGAGCAATGATGTTTCTGAGCTTAAAGTTTAAATGGCAGCGAAACACGAGGACGTTTAATGTCAACAACTTGTTCTCTGCTCGTAGTTCAGTCTGAGTCACTTCAATATTTACTTCCTGCAGCTGAGTCATGATAGAGTCTCATTCCCTTTCCAACCCCCTCCCCCCCTCCCCCGCTCTCCCTCTGTCCCTCTGCACCACTTTCTCTGCTCACATCCATGCAGCCATTTTAACTGGGTCATTATCACAATGTCAATAACTGTATATAAACACCATCACTGACTGTATATAAAGACACTGACTGTATATAAAGACACTGACTGTATATAAAGACGATCACTGACTGTATATAAAGATGATCACTGACTG